GCTCCCTCCCTTTGCCTGCCTTGCCTTGGTGTGTGAGGTACCTGGGCAGTGCTGGGCACTGTAAGGCCAGTAAAGCAGGACTCACTAATCTCGTTTAGGAACTTGTAGGATTGGGGCACATTTCCAAGATTACAAAGTGCACTTTGGGAAGAAGAGTTGATATCTTCACAAGTGTGCAGCTTTTAGAACACAAAGGTCTGGGGACTAGGGGACCATGATCAGGGATACTCTGTATAGTCCTTGAAAGTCCCTGTATTTGCCAGCTCTGATGAGTGAGCAGACACAAACTACACTGACTCCATACCCTGAGCTGCAGTTGCTCATCCCCATCTCCAGACTTGAGGAAATGTATGTCAAACAACAGCTCCCACACTGAGGAGAAACCACTGGAATTTATATGGCTTTAAAGCAGGGGTGTACCAAAAGAGGACTGCTGGTATCAAGGGCCAGATGGCAAAGCAGGCAGGTCAGCACCAAAAGTATCTAAATATCCTTTCTATACCATAAAATTAGTGGTATTTGGGTGATATTTTGAGGCAACTCTTAGAATGTATGAGCAAAAAGGTAGCAAACAGGAGTTACTTTTCACTGTCTGGAGTTCTTCCACCCACAGGTTACTAGTACTGGTTTCTAGCGAGGAGCAGCTATACCATGAACAAAAGTTATATATGTCCTTGCTTGTGTGCACACACAAATATGTAATAATATCATACTGCATCCAAAGTTTTGGGATCTTGTCTTGCTTCCTTTTGTTGTTGGGTCACTTACTGGTTACTGATTGTTTTCTTAAGGCCAGCTAGCAATTTGAGATATGCCTCTTGGCCACTCTCCTGACATAGCTGTGCCCTGCATACCAAAATGAAAAATCAGAAATTCAGGAACTGTGTTTCCTACCATTATCCATGTTTTCAGGGCTAGTTAGTGCTGATAAGTGTGAAAGTGTGTTTCTGTACTCATGTAGCTGGAGACACAGCTATGCAGCTGATTTTTAACCACTGGAGGCGAGGCAGTTGGAAAAGGATGTCAGATGAGGCACATGCTTTTTTCCTACGCTTGAATGAAAACCTGGAGCAGTTGACAGGTGTATGATTAAGCTGCTTTTCCAGGGAACTGGTTTGTTGGGGTTTTTTCTCCTAATTTTTTTTTTCCTTTTCTGTAACCATCTAGTGGCAGCTTTGTATTGCTTACGTTTACAAAGCTGATCTTACCTCCATTTAGGGGAGGAGATGTTACCTCTTATTTAAAAGGAAAAAGTCCCATTAAAATGTACTCAACTTCAAGACAGAGTTTACAATTGCAAATCAAATATTAAATCCTGATCCCCCAGGGCTTAACTGTACCAGTGGTGAATGGAAACCCTGAGCATGTATGCTACAGAAAAAGGGCAGGGCAGGGCAGGGCAGGGCCGGGCAGGGCAGGCCTGTGGCACTTGCACAGCTTGGTAGCACAAGTCACGACAGCCATGATCAGAAAATCCATGTTCTAGGCTTCAATATTTGAGTACTGAAGGGCTGTCTGCATTAGGAAAAGATTAGGGTAGGAAGACACAGCTCAACTGCTGCCTGTCATGCAGTGCTGAAAGGCAGCTGGTTACCTGCCTTAGGAAGACAAACAGTTTTTCATTGCTGCTATGGAAACAGTGACTAAAATGGCCTCAGCTGCCTTTGCTATCATCATGGGGATGCTAGAAATGTTGTTCTCTCCTCCAAATTTTCATTTTAGGCCACTGGCAGCAATGTTTTCTGTAGAAATGGTCATCAGTGACCCTGTCTGAAGGAGGTCATTTTTCCTGTTCAACAGAGACCTGTGAGCTTCTACAGGAAACATGTTGATGATTGGTGGATGCTTGACATGGTGAGGAAACAGGCAGATGATTGCTGGCTGCACAGGGAACCCCAGTAACTTTCTCTGGACACCATTTACCTCCAGCTTTTCTCCACTGAAAAAGCAGATCAGTGTAAAATGCAAGACAGAATAACAGCCCCAAAGTTTTAAAACTTGAGGGAATGCAGCAGTTTCCCACTGAGGACTTTGTCTCTGCAGATGTTATGATGGAGTGAACAGATGACTGAGGAAGGGCAGTAACACACAAGCCAAATGAACTTCTTCAAAGGGAGGCACATACCAGCTGACTGCTTCTGGTTTTGAGTTGTTAAATGGTTTTAGCAGCACTCAACAGCAAAAACCAGATTGTTCCTTTATGGCATAGCCCATTCTGACCAAAACTCTAGAGAGTTTGAAAATATTACAACCTACTTATAAACTCCCATTAGCAAGTTTTTTTTGTTGTTTTTAATAAATAAAGTCCCGTAGAAACAGAAAGTATTTACAATTAGATCAAAATTCTGAATGTAATTCACAAGAGAAAATGTTGAGAGAATGTTTTCATATCCTCGTAACAGTCATTTGTTCTAAATTAGTACACAGCAATTGTCCATTAATTGAACATTTATCCCTTAAGACCTATTCTTGCAGAGAAGTATTTTAGGCAAAACTTCCTAACCATGATGTAACCGTTTAGAATTCAGAACATTTCTGTGATTAGTAATTCACATAAAAATTAACATTTTCCATGGCTCGAGGAAAACATGATGAATAACTATCAAAATGTAAGACAGGAGAACAATATATTTTATTGGAGCAGCTTATACATTTAAAAGAAAAGTAGAGGTTTTTGGGTTCAGTCCCTTCATCCTGATAAAGGGTAACACCTGTTCCTGCAGAACTTCTCCCCTTAGACACTAGAGCTGCCAGCATGTTACCCCTCTCAGGGTGGATGGATTGGACCTGTCCCTGCTGGACTGAATGGCTTCAACACTGTCACTCCTTAACTGCTGCTTTCAAAGATACTGCCAATAGAGTTGAATTAAGCTCTTTGAGTTAATGTGCTTCTTGGTTACTCAGACGTTCTTCCTGTAACAAAGTCATGAGCTTAATTTCGCTGTCAGTGCATCTCTTCCACTCTCCTTTCCAAGTTAAGTTTTTAGTATTGCTTAGATAAGAACATGCCCTAGAATTCTTCTGTATTTGAAATCAATTCCCACCTCTCATTTCCAGTGCAGCCAATGTGAAACTGGGTTGTATAAGAAAGGCAGGCTCAGATGAATAGTTTCTGCAGCCTGTTACTATGACAGGAATGCAGAGTTGGAGCTGTGGTCCATCTCAGTGCCAGCTGATCTTTGATATGTCCTCCTACAGGAGGGGATGAACTCCACAATTAGCTAGAGGTTCTCCCACTAAGTGATCGATGGCAACATTTCAAATGGCCAGTGTCCAGTGGAAAACAACTTAAAAGAAGGAGAGAGAGAATATTTTTTTTACTTGTAACACTCACAAAGGAGCGAGCGGGTGATTCCTGCCAGTATCCGACGCGGGAACAGCGCGGGAATCACGCCACCCTGGGCAGCACAGGGCAATGTTCCCTTTGCTGGAGGGCAAGCTCTGCTGCCTTACCTGAAATGATCTCACTGCAAGCTCACTGGAGATCAAAGCTGTTCACTGCAGCCTCCAACTGACTTCATCTCCCTGCAATTTCATCCGTGGGTTTGAAACCTGGAGGCAGAATGATCCAATCCACCAAACTTCCTGGTGGGCATGATGCTGACTACTGACCCTAGGCCCAGAGGGTATCTGAAATAAGTAGTAGGAAACATTTCCAGGAGCCTAAGGGTTTATTTTAATATTTGCCTCTGTCAGCCTCTTTATTGCATAATTTTTACCCACTTACTTAGATTTTCAAGGTCTCAGTTTGGAGTAAGGCCACTTGATACTCAGATCACCACTGAACTGGTCTCACTAAGAGTAAGGCACACTTGTTGCTACAAAAATAAACGTGGACATGGTGAGGAAAAGAAGACTATTCATCTGAGGACTGCTCCTTACTTCAATATACCTGTTACAATCAGTGGCTTTTTTTTTGCCCAACATTCCCTGTTCAGGTCCACCAGTGTGGATCACACTCACCTGATTCTGGCAGGGGTCACACTCACAAGCAGTACAGGTGGGCAGGCTAAATGTGAATACAAGGGATTGTCACATCAGCACTGAGGTTACCAAAATAAAATTGTGTAAGTAAATTTACCACGTTTTTATTCATTTATTCACTCTCCTGTGCTCTGCTCCCAGTAGAAATCTCAGGTGACAGGTCAGGGCAACACAGATAAGACAATGAATCTTAACAGTAGTGAACACACCTCAAAGCATTCCTGTTCCCAGTGATGAACAACAATAGCTCAAACCAAACTGGCACAGTAGGGTTTCCATTACAGGTTCATGTCCTAAAGAATGACTTCAAACCTTGCTTTTGTTTAGGAGAAGTCACGTTATTCCAACTTTCCATTATGTTTTTGACCAGATATGTAGTTCAATGATAGTTCATCAAATAATTTGGGAAGGTCTTGGGCCAAGTGCTTTGCACCAACCTATCTTATGTGCAGACTCAACAGGGAGTGAAGGTTGCTGGTGTGTGTATGCTGGAGCCAAGGGGGGCTGCATAGCACCTCCAGGCAGGCTGCTGCTCCCCTGGCATGAGCAGAGGAACTGAAAAGCCTTCCCAAGAGTGATGAGCAGTGCATATTTCTTACTGAATTCATCCTTGGAATGGCACCTGATGTTTGGGTTTGCCCACAAGTGGTGGGCTTTGTGCTTGCTTACATTGCCACCTCATCCCAGAGCTCCAGCAGTCAAACTGCACAGGGCAGGCACAGGTACTGTCAGGCCTGACATTCGTCACTCTTGCTTTTTAATCTCTGACTGGAAGTTACACTAATCTGTGAGTCATTTTTATTGTTATTCTGCTGCTGCCCTGGGAGCACAAAGTAAAGCATGATACTTAAAACGTTGCCCTAAAAAAGTTTAAGGAGAAAGATTTTTATTTTTTAAGTTGAAAATTTAACTGCATGCTTAACCAACTTCAGTGAAGCATCAATCATATTGGACAAGCAATTTTAAGAAATAAGATAGTTTAAAAAATTAATTCTGAAAATACTGCCAAAGATTTCATGATATAGATATTTTTTAATATTAAAAGTAAATTGTAAATGTGTCTTTATAAACAATATGCATAAAATAGATCTACTATACTAAGCTCTCTCTTTTTAAATGCTGTTTCACAGTAATTTCTTAGGTATGCGAAGTTTTCCCTCAAAGAAATAGTGCAATCTGAAGAACATACATTGTGTCAGGGGATCAGAACTATGGTCATTAATATAAGTCTTTGTAGATTTCTTGTAGGAGTGGATGAAGGCTCATGTCTGTCTCCGTTTTCTTTATTATCTGCAAGAGCTGCACATGTTCTGTTACAATCTGTCTGAGGTCCGTCATTTTCTGCAGCAACTTTGCAAACAGCTGCGACGACTCTGGATGGTTCAGCTTTAGCTGGAGCTCCAAAGCTTGCAACAGATTGTCTTGAATATCTTCAATGGGCTTCACGTTTAACAAACCCGGGCGATCTAGGGAGAAAATTGGCAGTTGTAAGAATACAGGAACATCAATCTCATGTATTGTTTTATTTAAGATTTCTTAGAATATGAAGCATTTGCATCTGGCACTTCCTGAGAACTCTCTGACAGTTTCTTCATGTATTTACTTGTAAGGTTTTCCTAGAATTTGCTCAGAGAAGTTTTAGAACTAGTACTAAAAACAGTTCAAGCACTTGTGTGGTGGAGAGGGAGGTTTATACAACACTACAGTGACTTTCCACAGTAACCTGGGAGTGTTTATGGAAAGGAAGAGCAAAACACAGTTGGCAGACAAGCTGGTATGCAGGAGGGTTAACCTGAATATAAGAAAATACTTCTTTACTCTCAGGGTCACACAGCACTGGGACAGGCTGCCCAGGGAGGCTGTGGAGTCTCCATCTATGGAGACTTTCCAAACCCACCTGGACACGTTCCTGTGTGATCTGCTCTAGGGGATCCTGCTCTGGCAGGGAGCTGCGACGACTCTGGATGGTTCAGCTTTAGCTGGAGCTCCAAAGCTTGCAACAGATTGTCTTGAATATCTTCAATGGGCTTCACGTTTAACAAACCCGGGCGATCTAGGGAGAAAATTGGCAGTTGTAAGAATACAGGAACATCAATCTCATGTATTGTTTTATTTAAGATTTCTTAGAATATGAAGCATTTGCATCTGGCACTTCCTGAGAACTCTCTGACAGTTTCTTCATGTATTTACTTGTAAGGTTTTCCTAGAATTTGCTCAGAGAAGTTTTAGAACTAGTACTAAAAACAGTTCAAGCACTTGTGTGGTGGAGAGGGAGGTTTATACAACACTACAGTGACTTTCCACAGTAACCTGGGAGTGTTTATGGAAAGGAAGAGCAAAACACAGTTGGCAGACAAGCTGGTATGCAGGAGGGTTAACCTGAATATAAGAAAATACTTCTTTACTCTCAGGGTCACACAGCACTGGGACAGGCTGCCCAGGGAGGCTGTGGAGTCTCCATCTATGGAGACTTTCCAAACCCACCTGGACACGTTCCTGTGTGATCTGCTCTAGGGGATCCTGCTCTGGCAGGAGATTGGACTAGATGATCTCCAGAGGTTCCTTACAAGCCCCACCTTTCTGTGATAAACAGTCTGTATCAGGTAATCCACTTTTGGAAACTCAGCATAATAGTCAGATAGATTTGCATGTAGTTGCTACCATTAAAATGATTCCTGCTCAGGTGGATGCTAACCTATCAAAATTTTAAAAAGGCATGAATTCACTTTCTGCTGTCACCCCAACCTGGAAGATTTTAAAAAATCCAGGCTCAGTTCTCCACACCCAAGCTCTGTTGGCTGTTAAGAAGCCTCATGGCAGCTTTTAGCACTAGCTCATCAGCTCAGCCACAGGTGCTTGTGGCGGTGGAGAACGACTAGATGTGGCTTGTGCAGAAAAAGCCTTTTCTGGGCTCCTGCCAGCAGAGAGCTCTCCACACAGAGGAATCTGGGATGGATGGTTACAGCCAGAGCTACATGCACTGCCACAGCTTCAAGAGTCCAGGATTGCCACTGGCATGTCTTGTTCTTTGGCAAGAAGCTAAATCTTCCTTTTTTAACCATTGTTATCTTTCATAATAATAGCTGATCTGTTATTTCTGTCTGTCCTCAAATACCTTCTTAAGTGGTTGCAATCATTATTTAACATAATTTGTAACATTTGCTTTCTAACTTGAGGTAATAAATTAATTCTACAGCCATGAAAGTTAATAGGGTTGCTTAGCATTATTAAATCCTCACATGATAATCACAAGCAGTAATTCCTTACTGCTAAACTACTTTTTACTGGGTAACCCATCCTGATTATCAGGACACTCCATGAAAAAGCAGCCAAGAATTTAAATAACATTTGCTGTCTAGCTATGAAATGAATCAATGATCAATAGAAAGCAGTGCCTGTAGCTGGCTTAAGTACTTCCCTAGGGCAATATTTCCATTTCAGAAAGGAGAAGGGGTTAATCTAAATTAAAAATTTAAAACCAGACTGTTATTCCCTATGATTGGAGTAACCTTTCTGTGCATCCTGTTCCACTAACTCAGCTTGGCTTGTGCTGTGTGCTTAGAAAAAAGGCTGAGAGAAAACAAAGCTCTTTATAAATACGTTGCTGCTCAGAGAAACAGTTTGCAGTGCAAACTAAAAGGCAAAGCTGGCACGAAGACAAATGAGTACACACAAGCCATGATTACATGTAGGTCACTGATTAGGACAGGGTGGTTAACTCTCAAAGAGGTGAGGTTTGGGGATAGTTTGTTGGAAACAGGAATAAGGGCAAGTTTGAAGATGGAGCTTGATATTTGTTTGATGGTGGTTTGATGAAGTGACTTCATAAAAGCTTTCAGCTCTAGGTGACTGGACCCAGAGATATTTTGATATCCCTTTGATATTTTATGCTAATAAGCTGTGCTTGTCTTTCAGAGATCACTTAATTCCACCATCCCACTGATAATACCATAAAATATGGTTCAGAAAGTCTGTAAGTAAATATCTGCAAGCAGAAAATGGTCTCCAGACAAACAGCTCCTTTTTATCGCTTCCTTTGGCAATATTATCCAGTCATTTTTTAAAGATTCCTTAAGAAATTTTGATAAATAGTAGGTAACTATTTTTAGATTACCTGAATTCGTTACACGTGCTGCAAAATCTAGCAACTTTCTGTGCATCTTTCAGCAACATCCCTAATTTCAGTACTTCAAAGCTGTTAATAATCGTGACTTTGGGTTGCGATGGCTTTAAATTTCATTTCTGTGTGGTGGGTGAACTCTGAACCAGCTGGGTATGACTCAGTGCACAGTGATATAAAAAATCAAAAAGCACAAAGACTGTGGCCTCCGTTTCCTCTGAGATTAATCTCTGTTTGCCCCCTGCTTCTTTTATGGTGGGAATTTTTAGGGTGTGAGCTTTTCAGCAGTGAAACTGAATTCAAACACCCGTGTTCCCCAGCACAGCTTCAGAGCCCAGGAGGCAAACCCAGGAGAGCAGAATTTACCCAAGGAGCTCCCCAGATTTGGGTGCCCAGAGGCTGAAGGTCAGTGAGACTCAGACATCTAAAATCCCTCAGCTCCCTTGAAAAAGCCAGTCTAATGGTTTTGTAATGACCAAAGCAGAGTCAGAAAAGATGACTATGACAAAAGCCTAGGAGATCAGAAGATGTTATTTTTAAATAAGCCAATTCAAGAGGAAGGAAAATTCCCATTGAAGACAAGATGGATTTTTCATGAATGAGAACTTCAGGATATGGACATTATTTTTTGAGTGTTGACAGCTTGCTATACTTTCTCAGTAAAAATGTCTTATAGAGGAAAAGGCTGTTTCTGTTCCAAGAAACACATCTAAATCAGAAAAAGAAAAGAAAAAAAAAAAAAGAAAAAAAAAAAAAGAAAAAAAAAAAAAGAAATAAGAGGCAAAAGCTGTAAGATACAGTTGTTAGTTATGGTAAATCTCAAGTTGTTGAGATGCTCTTAAAGCTACATGCTTCTAACTCCTTGGGCTGCTCTAGCAAAAGGTGTACTTCGTGCATTAAGGACCTCCAGATAGATATGGCTTGTGGAAAAACATACAAAGGAAATGATTCATAGAATCATAGAATGGTTTGGGTTGAAAGGGACATAAAAGATCATCTAGTTCCAACCCCCCTGCATGGGCAGGGACACCTCCCACCAGCCCAGGTTGCTCCAAGCCCCATCCAACCTGCCCTTCAACACTTGCAGGGATGGGGCAGCCACAGCTTCCCTGGGCAACCTGTTTCAGTGTCTCACCACCCTCACACTAAAGACTTTCCTCCTGAAATGGTTTATTTACTTGCAGATTTGGATCCTTCTTTCCTGTTCCTAACAATAATGACAATATTTTTCTGTTTCTCACATATGAAATTGCCATCTGCATTTTGCATTTTAAGACACATTCTAAAAATCTTAATGTGATAAAACAGGCAAAGATCTGGCTGACTGAACAACTGTGCTGCTGCTTCTGCTGAGGCAGATGTGACTCAGCAGTTTGAGGTTGTCACATGTATTGTAGGCACCAGGATTTTGGTTCAAAGCCCATAGTGATTATCTGCACTTCTTGGTCTCAGTAGGGAGCTTTTCTTGTTCTAACAGGTTTGCTACAGCAGGATTTGTGTAGCAGTCAGAGATGAGCTATTTCTTGGTACTATTCAGTGATGAAACATCAAAATTTGCTGATCTCAGATTGCAGCAAAACTCTTGAATACACTGTTTAAATAAACATCAGTGATTTAGAGCTCAACATTTAGAGTAAAGGACACCCTCAAAAACCAGAAGAAAGTGAATGTAG